GAGAGTTTTTGGGACAGCAAGGGCTGTTTTTCTCCCTCTCCAGGGCACCCGGGTTGAGGCAGCACAGCCTGCCCGGACCCAGCGCTGCCGCCCTGCCCTGGCTGCATTGGCACGATCGGGCCAGGCCCATCTCCAGCGCTCTCCTGGCGCCACGGGCTGAGCTTCCGCATGGGTACCTGCACGGACAGCCAAGCTCTGCCCCACCAGGGTGCCAACACACAGATGGCTGGACTGGGATGTGCTGTGGCATCGCTGTGCAGGACCAGGATCTGCTGTGGCATCGCTGTGCAGGACTGGGATCTTCCACAGCACCACGGTGCAGAAGCGGGATCTGCCGTGGCATCGCTGGGCAGGAGTTGAGCTCACTCTGCCGCGGTGTTTCGGCGCTCCGGTGGACCGGGCTCCACGTGGCTCTGTGTGCGCAGCCGCCCCAGACTGTGCCGCCGCTTGCCCAAGCGGATGCTCACGCCATGGCCGCTCTGGCATCGTGTCACCGGCAGCCAGGCCGGGTGCTGGCCCTGCTTCTTTGCTGGGGAAGGGACCGGGATGGAGCCGGCCCCGGTCTGAGCCTGGGGGGCAGCCCGTGCCCTCAGAGCCCCTCCTGCTCTGCCATGCGGCTCTCCTTGCCGTCCTCCTGGGCCACGGGCTGCCCCCCTAGCAGTGTCTCCTGCACTGGCAGCACGTCCAGGTCCAGGTCCTCCACGGGATCCTGCCTCTCCGCTGCCTCCGTGTCCTTCATGGGCTCCGGCTGCGTGGCCACAGGGATAGGGACAGGGATGGGGGCAGGGCAGGAACGGGGACAGACCCATGCCAGACCAACCCCACAGTCCCTGCTCCACTGCTCCATGGCCAGCAGGTCCCCATCCCGTCCCAGGAGGGATCCCCATCCTTCTGCTGGAGTCATTCCCAGGGACTCACCTGCTCCTGCACTGGCCTCTTGGGATCTGAGGGGGAAGAGGGAAGGAGAAGGTAACGAGGGGAGTGTCCTGCCACAAATTCACCCAGCAGCAGCACCATTTGCTGGCGCCACCAACCCCGGCACTGGGGGCTGTGCTGTGCCCGGCCTCTCCGCGTCCCGACTCTCACCTCTGCGGACCAGGCAGTAGATGCAGACGCCCACGAGGCAGGTGGTGATGGCGGCGGAGATGGGGATGAGCACGGAGAGCGAGGAGCGCCTGCTCGACTCTGCGGAGCGACGGGCTGAGCGCGGCCGCGGTGCCGTGCGGGTGCGCGCGGGCCGGGCCGAGCGCACAGCGCTGGGGCAGCGTCCGGCCCCGTGTCCCGGGAACCTGCGTGTCCCTGGGACGTGCACTCACCACAGAGCACATCCGACGTGTTGGTGCCCTTAGCCTTCACCACGAGCCCTTTGTCCTCACAGCTGCAGAGAGACAAGACCCTGAGGCCGCTGCCAGAGCACCAGGGAGGGCCAGGAGCAGGGCCAGAGCAGGGCTGTACCTGGTCCATGGGTGGCACGGCTCCGTTTTGGATGAGACGTTGGAGAAGGTGCCCTCGGGACAGGGCTCACATGGGGACGATGTCCGGGCCTCGGCCTTGGCTGCAGGAGCAGGGAAGGCAGCTCAGCACGAACACGGGCGCTGGGGGTCCCGCGCACTGTGGTGCCGGAGCACCCGGTGCTCTCCCGGCTCCAGGCTCCATCTCACCTGCCACGAAGCCGGCACCGCGCTCGCAGGGCGGGTTCTCCACGCAGCTCTGGCAGCTGCCGTCGGAGCAGTGCATCCCGGCCCGGCACTGGCACAGCGTGTTGTGCGTCGCATCCCCGTCCCTCTTCACCTCCAGCCCCGCATCTGGGCGGCAGGAAAGTGAGGCGCCAGTTGGGCACGGGCTGGCAGCCCGGGCGGATGGGCACAGCGAGCCCGGGGAGATGTGGGTGGGCAAGCCCAGGAGGGACATGGGAGGAACAAGCCTGGGAGGGATGCAGGGATGCAGCCAGGTAAATACAGGGTGGGATGCGGGTGGACGAGCCCAGGAGGGATGCAGGGATGCCGGTAGCTGTGTCCAGGGGGGATGCAGACAGCCAAGTCCCAGGGGACGGGGCGGTGCCCCTCGGTGCTGCAGTGTGGGGGACGCGGGGGCACTCACTGTCCTCGCAGACGTCGTGGGGGGTGCAGTGCCTCTCCTTGGTCCAGCTCTGCTGGTAGTGGTCGCTCTCGCAGGCGCCGCAGAGGGACTCGGCCGTGCTGTTGCACTCGGAGAGCAGCTTCGTCCCTGCAAGCGATGACAGTGAGGGGCGCAGGGGACTCCAGCACCGATGGGGCCACTTGGATGGCCACCCCAGGGTCATAGTGGGGGCGCTGGGAGAGGCTGTGGGCACAAGGCCTGGGGAGCGCCCTGGCAAGGACGTGGCAGCGGCGTGGGAGGAACTGTGAGATGGGCGCTGCGGGATGCAGCATGAGATGGGGCTTTCTATGGGCCACACAGGGCAGCCCCAGCAGCAGCTGGGAGCTGGGCTCCCGTGCGCCCGCCCCGGCCTCCGCAGATGGCCGGCGCCTCCGTACCTGGCGGGCAGCGGTTGCAGCACTTGTCCCTGTGCTCGTACTGCTTCTCAGAGCACCGCAGGGCCTCGCCGGGCTCCCAGCACTGCAGGGGAGGAGAGGGGATGCCCGTGACGCCCGCGCCGGCCCCGCACCCGTCCTGCCCTCCTTCCCGCGCCGTAACCACAGACCGCAGCCGGGGCGGCAGCGCCGCACGTGCCCTCCGCGCCCGCTTTGAAGTGGCACGGCTGCGATTCCGGTGTGGCATCTCCCACGCTCCCTATCAGCGGGTGATCAATCACACATCATCCCATGCTGCAAAACACGGGAG